TGCCGAGGCTTAGAATCAATATTGAATTTATAGATATGTGGGATATACTGACTCTTATGCATAACGACTGGCTTTTAAACATTTCTATTTATCATATGTTTTATGTTTTCGCAGCACAATGATAATTACGTATTATGAACATGATGTGCAAAGTATGTATCGAAATTGTTTATTAATTCATTTGCTTCTAGTAAATCCTAATTTATTCCATGTAGGTTAGTGTAAGGTCTAGGTACATTACATCTCCTAGGTAATCATGCCTGAGCATTACTTATTGAAAACATATTTTGTCATAAAAAAATAGTCCAATTATTTTTCCTTTACATTCCAGATAAGGCAACCGTATTGATTCTTTTAAATTATGTATGTAGGCAAGTCGTGTTATCTATGCGTTCGTTTCAGGAGTGTAAAGAGTATGTTAGGAAATATTTGCTGTGAAAAGGGGCTGCTCGGGCTGTAGGGCTGAGGTCTCAAGGGCGGGGACAGTGGGGGCCAGGGACAGAGGCACAGCCGCCCCTCCCCGGCTGAAAATCAACCATTCTTGCCAAACCTGGGACTTCTGGATTTCGTTTCATCATCGAAGCGGTATGCCCCCGGCCGATGCCTTTGGAGAAAGTGAACCCAGAAATGTTGCCATGTAGTCAGCACTTCAGAAGCCAACGTGGCCTTCGTCTGAACCCTCTGTAAAAAAAACAAATGTCGATTTTAAAACCACAAAGCAAACACAGCAGCTTTTGAAAATAAGCAGCGCCCAGCGTATTCGGCACATTGGAGGTACCCGTGGAACATGCGATGTGTGTCACAGGACTCTGGATATGAATCCAGGCCCCGCCACCGAGTAGCCAAGGGCCTCTGGGCAACTGAATGACCTTCCAGAGTCTTAGGTTCCTCATCTCTAAAATGGGGAAAATAACAGTATCTGCCTCGTGAGAGCGAGGGAGAGTGGGGTGAGGGTCTGATGCACACGAAGTTGCATAGAATACTCAACAAATATTAGCCCTTAATGACCAACTTTATTTAGAAAATAAAATATAAAAGCCTCGAGGGCAAACTTCACACTGTGAAACTTGTAAATTATCTCGGCGAAGTCCTTTGATATGGGTCACTTGAGGTGACATCGACCAGGTGTGATGGCGTCCGCTCTGGAAGATTTTGACAAACCGAGGGATAAAAAGAAGAAACGAGACTCACGAACTGTTCCTGCAGAGAGGAACTGGGAGGGGAGGGGCCCCCAAACCCAGCTGCGCAGGCAGGGGCAAGAGTTTAAGGAATATTTGTGGCGTGAATGAACTAGAGGGAAGTGAGGCACAGATGTCAGCTGCCCCGCTCCCAGGAACAAGCTCTGTGCCACATTTCCTGGAAAAACAGGAAGTCTGGATGGGGCAGATACCGACACGGTGATGAATGTTCCTTGCGGTTCAACAGCTTGTCACCTCCCCACCCTGTGTCAGGCCACCTGCAGGGGATGAGTAAGACGTTCCTTGACAGAACTCCGTAAACACAGGCTTGACTTGCTGTCATATTTAGTGCCCAGCAGCGTACTAGACACACATGCTATTGTGTTTAAACCTCACGACAGTGCCGTGAGGTAGGAGCTGTCACTCCCCTCACACAGAGAAACAGAGGCTTAGAGCTGTGGAGCGTTTACTGAAGGTCAACCAGCCAGTAAGTGCGAGGAGCCAGGTTTCCCCGCCCAGCTGGCCTCATGGAGACGATGCTGAACACTTCGGGAAGCTGGAAGGAGACATTATCAATTTTACCTGGCGTGTATCCAGAAAGACTCCCTGAGATAATACACAAAATGACACAACAGACGAGTGGGTGCCGAGCGCGTCCTCTGCACCAGGCGTGACTACCTGGGGAGGCTCGGTGTCACCTGCATTTCACAGGTGGGGGAACAGGCTGGGAGGCATGAGTCGGGCAGGTCCTGCTTGTGGGTGTCACTCCCACCAGAGCATTAGCGATACGGCCCATGCGCCCGATGCCGCAACCGCAGTGACACCCTCTTCTCGCCCCCCCGGGGATCTGCCGTGCACAGCCCGTCCAGTTCCCCGGCTGCTCTCCACAGCCTCCTGTCCTATGAGAAATGAAAAGCAGGTATCGCACCCGCGTCTGACGGGAAGCGAGGGGGCCAGGGGCACGGTGCAGACCACCCCCTCCCTCCCGGCCTGCCTTGCCCTCCTTGTGCTTTGCTGCTTACTATCTGCCTTCTCCTCCCTGAAGCCTTCCAGGATAACCCCCCACCCTGGAGGGTCCCTCCAGGCACACTTGTCACCCTTTGCCTTTATCTACAACAACCTGGGCGTCTGACTCCCCTCGTCACCCCTCGTCACCCCTCTCCAGGGCGAGGGCTGCCTTAATCATCTCCGCCCCGGCGTTTTGCACAGTGGAATTCTTTTTATTAGTATCGGCTTGTTAGTATCACTTTCACATTTTTTTCTCAAGAAAGCAATGTGGTTTCCGTCTTCCGAGATTCAGGAGCATCGCCCCAACCCTCCCCTCAGATCTCCGATCCAGATTCTTCCTAAAGTTGTCATCTGCACATGCCTTCCGGGATTTCGCAGGGCGTGGAACCGCTGACAGCCCAGGGGAAGCCAGTCGCCCTTTACAAGTATGGTTGCCGTTGCCTCACTTCCTGTATCATGTGACTCGTCCATAATTATCACATGACCCACTCATTATGTTCCGCTGAAATTAACCTGCGAGGCTAGTCTGATGTCTATAGCTACCGAGGTTCCTGCATCCCTGTTCTTATTCAGCAAACCCTCCGTCCTCTCCGAGGCTGGGGAGCCCTGCAGTCTTCCTGTCCGGCGATGGAGCTCCCAAGTCCTTCCAGAGAGGTGAGTGGCCCGCGGCTCCCAGCTGGTCTTTGCCTTTGGAATCCCGGCCATCCAGGCTCTGGAATACAATGAATGACAGACTCTCCTCGAACTCAGGCCCTCATGGCACTCTGATGGAGGGACCGATGGAGGCAAGGGGGAGTCGAGAGATAAACGGGTGGGGATCGGCGTGGAGGAGGGTCCTGGCTGGGGTGCGCAGAGAGCTGCACAGCAGGGGGCTTGGAGGGAGGGCTGTCGCTAGCAGAGGGCCTGTGCCGTTCCTCTTAAAGGTGGGAGACCAGGCTGCGGACACCCATCGGCAGCCAAGAGCTGCCCGGGAGGGCGGTCGAGGGGTGAGGGGTGGAGAGGGGCTTGCCTTCCAGCCACTCCTCACTCTGTTCTCAGGAATGGCCCAAGCTGCTGGGCGGGGGAGGCACCCTGACGGCCACCCTCGCAGGATTACTTCTACTTCAGGCAGTCTCCTGGGCATCAGGTGAGCGAGTCGGGGAGGGGCGTAGTCCCGATGCTCCCTTCTGCCTTGTGACCCTCTCGTGGCCTCTGGCAAACTGGCGTGGACTTCAGGAGGTGCTCCAGAAATGCTTTTGAGTGACTGAGGCAGCCTTGGGGGGGTGGGGGTGCGGCAAGGGGGTTTTTGAAACCACCGTCCAGGCCCTCCTTCTGACCAGTACGCCTTCCCCTCCAGCCTCGGCCTTCAGCCTTCGCCCACTCCTGTGCTTCCTCCCCGCCAGGTGCCCGCCCCTGCAGCCCCCAAAGCTTTGGCTACAGCTCTGTGGTCTGTGTCTGCAATGCTACGTACTGTGACTCTCTTGACCCCCTGACCTTGCCTGCTCCTGGCACCTTCAGCCGCTATGAGAGCACCCGCAGTGGGCGCCGGATGGAGCTGAGTCTCGGGACTGTCCAGGCCCGTCGGACGAGAACAGGTAGCCACCATGGCCTCCCCCCGGGCCCGGCTGGAATCGCCCTGGAGCTGAACCAAGCTCGTGGGCTCCACGGGCTTCCTCCTCTGCGCACTGACATCCTCGATTCTCTGCTGGTGTCCTCAGGGCTGCTCCTGACCCTGCAGCCGGATCAGAAGTTCCAGCAAATAAAGGGATTTGGAGGGGCCATGACAGATGCCGCTGCTCTCAACATGTTTGCCCTGTCGCCCCCTGCCCGGAATCTGCTACTCAAATCGTACTTCTCTGAGGAAGGTGAGGAGGAGGGGGACGAGACGGCAGTGCAGTCGACACTTGGACATCTCCTTTGACCTTGACTTCCGCCCATCCCTGATAGTCGGGTCCTCTCTCAATGCCCACGGAAATGAGATTGTCCTACCCATCTTCCACTGAGTGCCTGAGGACTCTCGGGCTCAGGAGGCCTGTGCTTCCCGGGGCGCCTGGCTCCACAGGCTCCCACCCAGGAGCGCAAGCTCCTGTTGGTCCTGGCCGAGACATAGCTTAGGACTGGCGAGGGGCAGGCTGGCTCCCACATTCTCCTGATGACTCAGACGCTCCTATCTTGGTCTTATTCCACAGGAATCGAGTACAACATCATCCGGGTGCCCATGGCCAGCTGTGACTTCTCCATCCGCATCTACACCTATGCCGACACCCCCGATGACTTCGAGTTGCACAACTTCAGCCTCTCAGAGGAGGATGTCAAGCTCAAGGTGGGCACTGGCTGCCTGGTGGCATTCATGCCTGGCGGTTGAGAAGCCTCATGCCGGAGCAGTCTTGAGAGGGACAGCCTGGCCCTTGCTGTTCCGCGCTAGGGGGTGGAGGGCGGTGCTGGCGGCAGGCCTGATGCACTGGTTGGGCCAGCCTGTCTGTTCCAACTCTGAGTGTCTCTCCTCACTGCGTTTCTTCCTAGATACCCCTGATTCACCAAGCCCTAGAGATGGCCCAGCGCCCCGTCTCACTCTTCGCCAGTCCCTGGACAGCGCCCACTTGGCTCAAGACGAATGGGGCAGTGAATGGCAGGGGGTCACTCAAGGGTCGGCCGGGGGACCGCTACCACCAGACCTGGGCCAGATACTTTATCAAGTAAGGGAGCAGCAAGGCCACGGGGTCTGGACCAGCCCCCACTCTCGGATACCCCACTCTATGTCTCAACCTGGTTCCACGTGCAGATGAGACTCTCCTTAGCTCAGCTTTTGACCCTCTGGGCCTTTCAGACTTGGGACCCCGATTCTGCCCCCTCGTTGGGTCTCCTGTTCCCCAGGGGCTTGGTCCCCTTTTTGGGTCATGCTCACTCACACCCGTCGCCCGCTAGGTTCCTGGATGCCTACGCCGAGCACAGGTTGCGGTTCTGGGCGGTGACGGCCGAGAACGAGCCTTCTGCAGGGCTGCTTAGCGGGTACCCCTTCCAGTGCCTGGGCTTCACCCCCGAGCACCAGCGAGACTTCATCGCCCGTGACCTGGGCCCCACCCTCGCCAACAGTACACACCGTGGCGTCCGCCTGCTCATGATGGATGACCAGCGCGTGCTGCTGCCCCACTGGGCCCAGGTGGTAAGGCCCAGGACCTCCCTGTGGTAACCTAGTGACCCCCAGATCTGCCACCCAAATGGCTGGCTCCCAGAGTGCCTTCTCTGCCCTGACTCTTGCTTCCCAGAGCACTCCGGGCTGGGTCCAGGGGCCCAGATGGCACCCTGGGGTGCTGTGGTGGTGGCGGCCCCCTCTGGGTGCCATGGCTGTCACTTCGACCTCCTCTGGTTACAGTCATCCCACTGCCCATCTCTCAGGGCCCCAGGCCCCTTCTAGAACCCTCTGTGCGAGGCCCGGGCTCAGTGGCTCCCTCTCCCCAGGTGTCCTTCCTCTTCCCCGCACAGGTGCTGGCAGACCCCGAGGCAGCTAAGTACGTTCACGGCATCGCTGTACACTGGTACCTGGACTTCCTGGCTCCAGCAAAAGCCACCCTAGGGGAGACACACCGCCTGTTCCCCGACACCATGCTCTTTGCCTCGGAGGCCTGTGCGGGCTTCGAGTTCTGGGAGCAGAGTGTGCAGCTCGGGTCCTGGGATCGTGGGATGCAGTACAGCCACAGCATCATCACGGTGAGTGACCTTTCTCCCTTGGCACGGAGCAGGCCCCCTGACCCCTTCCGAGCCTCACTGAAGGCCGACGCAGACCCCCACCCCCCGCCACCGACTCTCCCAGCTGACTTGCTCTTTGGGGCAGATTTTGGGATGCCATGATCCCTTCCCAGACCTGTGCGCCCCATCGCCCTTTCCCAGAATGCTTGGCTCTGGGGCGGAGCCAGCCTCTGGGACGTCTCAGCTTCTCTGGGGACCTCCGCCCTCACCACCTGTCGCCCTAGATGCAGAGCCCCCTCTCACAGGGCAGAGGCGCCGCGGCCCAGCTCCGTCCCCGTCACCCTTCACTGCACCATCCGGGGACCCAGCGTGAAGCCGCATCTCTCTGCCCTGTCTCTATCCTAGAACCTCCTCTACCACGTGGTCGGCTGGACCGACTGGAACCTGGCCCTAAACCTCGAAGGGGGCCCCAACTGGGTGCGCAACTTCGTGGACAGCCCCATCATCGTGGACATTGCCAAGGACACCTTCTACAAACAGCCCATGTTCTACCACCTCGGCCACTTCAGGTGAGTGAGGTTGGGCACGCCCACGCCAGCGCAGGCCAGCACCTCCCACCCCGGCTTACGTCACCCCACACGAGGACAGGAAGGAGTTTAGGGTAGGAACTAGGAGGGCACACCTGTTCCTCTTGCACCACTGGGGCAGGAAGTGACTTGATGGCAATGGAGCTGACACTGGGGCTGGAGGGCAGGCAGTGCCAGCGCGTGGCCTGAGACCTGGACGGTCAGGGCCGAGCTCCGGCAAGCGTTTGGCAGGTCCCCTGGGAAGGGTGGGTGGAAGCTGTCCTCAGGTGCCTGTCCCCATCCCAGCAAGTTCATTCCGGAGGGCTCCCAGAGAGTGGGGCTGGCGGCCAGTGAGAAGAGCGACTTGGACACGGTGGCCCTGGTGCGTCCCGATGGCTCTGCAGTTGTGGTCGTGCTAAACCGGTGAGAGCGGCAGCCGGGTCCAGGGACAGGGCTGGGGACAGGACGGTGGCCTTGGCAGGAACACACACTCAGCTTCTCCCCGCCCCCGCAGCTCCTCGAAGGATGTGCCTGTCACCATCCAGGATCCTGCCGTGGGCTTCCTGGAAACCATCTCGCCTGCCTACTCTATTCATACCTATCTGTGGCGTCGCCAGTGACCGAGCAAGCAGACACCGCAGCAGGCGCCTGGACGCCACACGAACATTAAAGGGACAGAATCGGCTCATATGCTGTCTGTGGCTAAAGAGGGTGCAGCGGCACCGGGCGAGCTTCAGTGACGTGAGCCCAGGAGCAGTGGTTTGGGTGACTCACTCTGCCCTCTAACTGGAGCCAGGGCTGGAGGCCCCTTGCGAAGCCCCGTTGGCCCCCTCTCCTAAGCCGTGTGAGCGTGTGCTCTGTGCTGCTTGCCTGTGGGAGCTGGGCCCAGGCCCGGGGTGAGCTCACTGTCTGTACAAACACGAGAAGGGGGTGGGGGAGGGTAAGGAAAGGACTTGAGAAGCTGGACCCAGCACTGAGAACTGTCTGTCTTTCCTGGGGGTGCAGAGTGGGCCCCCTGGGGAAGCATGTCAGCATCCGGGCACAGGCAGCTAGGAAGCCCAGGACCTGGGGGGACTCAGGCCCCCGGATGGCCCCTGGCACCGACTAACAGTGGCCTCTCAACAGAGAGAATGTCTGACCCCAGTTGTGTGAGCAGGTTTATTGTTGGGGGGACACCCCATTTCTGGCCGTATCAACAAAGGGGAAACACGGGGACCTCTGGAATGCATGACAGTAGAAAAACCAGTCCTGGGCACATGAGGACAGTCACTCGTCTTCGTCCTCCTCGGCCATGCCCAGGCCCCGCGTGCTGGGCGTCCGGGCAGGCGCTGCCCGCTGGATAGAGACGATGCCACTGAGCACGGCGTAGCCCACCATGGCCGCCAGCCCCGCCAGCACGGACAGGACCTGGTTCCGGCGCCGGTTCGGCTCCTCCTCTGTCTCTGAGCCCGCTGGAGTGTGGCGTGGCGGCGCCACCTCAGCTGAGGGGCAAGGAAGGAAGGTGGGTGGGGGGCTGGCGCCCGGGTCCCTGCCGCCCCTTCCCGGGTTGGGGCTCGCCCCCCAGCCGTCTGCCCCTTACCCCCATCCCAGGGGAAGTAGAGGCTGAGGATGTGGGTGCAGTAGGTGCAGAGGTTGGGCAGCCCCCGCAGGTGGGCCTGCAGCTTCCCGCTGGGCAGCTTGGTCTGCAGCAGCAGGGCCAGGTAGCTGAACACAAATGCGTCCAGGGAGGCGGGGCTGAAACAGAGAGGGGGCGGGGTGGACGGCTGCCCCCCGCAGAGGGTGCAGATGGGGGGCGGCGGCCCCGGGCAGCCGGG